ACTGACTGACTACTAGAGAAAATTTTACAGCGTTATCGCTCCCATAATAAGTATTTACTTTCAGATCGTATTTTACCACAATAAGTATTAGTTAGCCGATAAGTACTAAACTCCTAACGGTTTATTCTGCAATTTATTTTATATATCTGATCTTGATAAATGAACACGAGCTTTCTAAATCCACTACTTCTAAGAAAATTCGTAAAACGCACACCAAGTCACGTAGACTGGACCTTATCGTCAAAAATTAAGAAGTAATTTCTAAGATGATGACTAATAGTTTTTGTTAAAAGGATTTAATTTGCCTACATATATGTAGAGGGGTACGAACTGTCATTTGTAATAAACCAAATATATGTTGTAATGTCAGGTAAGTGTATTTATGGCTACACATAACTATAAACAGGACAGAGGTGAATTAAGCTACCGGGGTTTTACATTGCTACCAATATATTGCATTTATTTAGTCATCTTCCTCAAAATAAATTAATTCTTTACTTCATCAGCGTTCGACTTCGGTACACGTTTCTGAAATGAAAACAGTTTATTAGAAATAGTCCTTCAAATATAACGTGTCTTGCGGTTACAAGTACATTCATTTGTAGTGATAAATTATATTCCAATATTATTATACATAGTGGTTTTATCTTCGGCAGCATTAAATTTAATCAAATAAAATTTATAATCGTGATTGCTCACGAACATAAAATTTTATGGATTTTAAAAAGAAACATGGTAATGTGTTGTTTTTTTTTATTTACCTACTTGAGTGTCGAGGAAATGTAAAACTTTATCCTGTAGTTGGAGGTAGTGTCGGTTATTTTATACCTACTCAGCTTAGGCGCCGCATGAGTTTTCTCCAATTTCGTACTTTTCTTTCGCGCGTTATATGAAGGTCGACTTCGCCTGATGCAACTTTAACGTAATTTATCGTGTTACTGTGTGGATTAGCGGGAAATATATGATATTTCCATCATGTCATTACTTTTATGTTATGTTCAATTTAAAAAAAAATGTAAATTCTGTTGGTCATTACACCTACCAGGTACTTTTGTTACATATCTTCGTTTTGTTTTTAAATTTTTCATTAAATTTTCTCTTAACTTAGGTATAAGTACACAAGAATACCAACAACATATAATTTTATTCCGTATTTCTTAAACTGTCAAACACCAAGCGGTCATCGGTGACCGCAACCTATTGTTCTATAATTGTGTCTACAAAACCGGTACTCGACGAGTTAAACCTTATCAGTGAGTTTTTTCCAACGTTTTCTTTTATTAATTGGTTACCTAAACATTTTGTTAAGTGTAAGTAACATTTTATCTTTGACGAACTCGTTCTAGTTTTTTATTTCTCGCCAAAAATATTGAATTTTAGAAAAACTTATTTGCGCCAATCCTATTTAATGCGAAAAGGATGTACTAAAGTATGTAGGACCTACAACAGCTCAAACAATTTTACTGGGTTAAAAAATATTTTAAACTCGTAATACAATACTTCCAATCCAATGAGATGGTGGTTCCAATGAAATAGTGCAGTTTTTATAAAGATTTATGTAGGTGTAACAGATGATTCTATTAGAATCGGGGCTTAAAATGAAAATTTTGAGTCAGTAGATGGTCTTGTAATTACGAAAGATATTTAACATATTTTTTTTTGTCTGCAGGGAGCGCACGCGAAGGCGGATTGGTATGGCGCGGGTGCTCAGCCGAGTGCGACGCAGAAGACGGCGCGGCGGGTGCGCTCACCGACGGCAACGCCAACCCAGGAGACAAGGTATATATCTACCACCACAATGCAGATCAGCACCACCAGTCAACCATCTCTTGTATAAGAGTTTGAGGCATTACGACAGAAAACTGTTGAAGGAAAATCCTCCGCTATCGTGGTCCATGATATTGTTACCCATGGCATTGAACGTACGCTAATTGGTCGCAGAATTCTATAATTTCAGAAATAGTCTAAATTCTCATGAGAATTCGTTTCCTGCAGTGGTCCTAAGATTTTCCGCTCATAAAATAACAATTGAGAAAGCTTCATGCTAATAAAACAGACGTTTCATTACTGTCTCGACTCTTGCCTTGATGGAAGTGCACTGGAAAATTCTCTAAGCTGATTTAAAATTCTAGAAGCTGTTTAAAGTGGAAAATCTTATTTGTTAAATGTCTTCGGAGGACATTCCTGCGACGAACAACAAACTCAATAAAGCTTTCACTATTTACAATGTCCTTCTGTGTCGAAGTCAATCTTCTTAGCGACCAACTGGCGAGCTCCTCCTACTTATAAAGTTTTGAACTAAAGCCGGATTATTTTGCTCTCTTTCTCCGCTTCACTATGACTATATTTTCTCAAGTGATCTTTTTAATCCTAGAAATGAAGTTACTATGACGTTGTATACGATGCTATGTTTAAATGGGGTTTATTGTTCACTTAAGGATTTTAAATAGCATCGATGAAGATAAAAGAGAAATTGTAGATAAAGGTCACTTGGTCGCCGATATAGCTATATCAGTTTACCACCACCTTTAAACTGTCAAACACCAAGCGGTCACCGGTGACCGCAACCTATTGTTCTATAATTGTGTCTACAAAACCGGTACTCGACGAGTTAAAAATCCTGTTTTATATTAGGTTTTCTGTTAATAATTTTGGTAAGTATACATATTAACGTGTTGGTTTATTGGATTACGCAGTTGGAGGGGTCGGACGCAGCTCCGGACGACCCTGTTCACCTCAAGAGACGGGTGGGACTCTTCAGTGGGGTGGCTCTAATTGTTGGCACTATGATCGGTATGTCGTCTTTAAACTTATGCTGCCTGCTTATACAGTGAAACTTGGTTCAGTGGGACCTGGATAAGTGAGAAACCTCAATAACTGGAACTCATGCTGAGGTCCCAACACTTTGGCACTGAATTACCTGTGTTAGTGGGACGAGGAAAACCTCTATATCTGGGATTTGTTCTTTCGATTTATCATCATAGTTACCTCTATAACTGAGACAGCTAGTAAATTTTATATGCATAAACCTCTGTAACTGAGATAACATTGCTTGTTTACTCATTTTTCTACCCACAAATTCCACACGTAATTCCAAATCCACCTCTATTAATGGAACCCTCTGTAAATGAGACAGATATTTATTTATACCTGTATATCTGAGACACTGGGTAAGTGGAATACCCCTATAAGTGAAACGATATTGCAGGTCCCTTGATGTCTCACTTAACCAGGTTTATTCACTGTATAAAGTACTCTTCATACGTCCTTCTATATCGATATAGCTTCGCTTCTGAAGATTATGGAATCCATAACTTCGTTTAAATTGATCACGTTTGTTGCATATTCCGTCACACATGCTTTTTGTACTCACGTCACAAGCAACGAGCATATTGGCTAGACGAAAAACTATTCAGATCTGCATCTGGCTCAAGATAAACATTTACTTACGTAAGATTCGCAATTAATTATAATAACGTAAATAAAAATTCATTAACTACCAAATATTGAATTAAATACGAGCCGTTTTCAAAAAAATGTTTTCCGTTTAGTTAATTTTAAATCTAATCATTTAGCAACATTAAACACACAGTTGTAAACTTTCGTCTGTTGAATATGTATGAGAATCTTTTGCCACTACGAGTTTCCCTGGATATTTTCATGCTCAATAGCTCTTAAATTACGTGCCTACGTGCGAAACCATGAATTTGTTTCTAACAAAAGTTACGAATGAATAATGTTTAACTCGAATCTCGAATTGTTACTCTTGAAACGATACTCGATTATGGGAAATGAGATCGTACCTACAAGTACTTGTTGATAGTAATAGGCTTCGGGCCAGCGATCTGTCATTGTTCCAAGATTGTTCACTCGTCAACACTGGACGTAGATCGAGCGGTGCCAAAGTGCTCAACACCACGTATCATTATCAAGTTTAAACAATAATGAATCTTGCGTTAAAAAACAACGTCTCGTTAAAATTTACAAGGACTAACTTTTTTCTTGTGAACCTACCAAAATTAAGACAAACGTAAAAATGTTAACTACATTAGCGCAATGAATAAACATTTCAACAAGGGGGGACGACCTTTTCCGCTTAATTTGGGCTAAGAAACAAACACCTATATGTTTTACATAATATCTATATACAAAATTTAAGCACTGACCTACTTAAATATCGGATTGTGCAATTAACAATTTTTGTTTTCCAGGTTCTGGAATATTCGTCTCGCCCTCTGGGCTTCTGGAGCGTACCGGCTCAGTGGGCATTAGCTTCATCATTTGGATGGCATGTGGCCTGCTCTCGCTGCTTGGTAAGTGGCTCATGTGAACAATAATTATTCGACAATCAGTCTCGTGACCGATGTACTTCCATCATCAAATTGGTTAACTATCTCAACGAGCAGGAGTGGTACATACACATACTTATAAATCGCAAAGTTTAATAGCGTTGTAGGGTACACATACAAGACATTGCAAATTGATATATCAACGATTCCCATCAACTTCGTAGGTACTCGTTGCCGGCTTCAATAGATTCAATTTTAAATATTGACATTGCTTGCTGTAATTGCTTTGCTGTAGTCAAGTACAGCTGATCTTGGCTTGTATCACGTTGTCACGGCATGTTACCCTACAATTACGTAGGTTTATTAATATATATCACGAGCTGAAAGATATGATCTTATTCTTTTAAGATATCAATTAAAGAAGATGATTTACTTTAATTAGGAGCGCTCGCGTATGCGGAGTTGGGAACGATGAACACGTCGTCAGGCGCTGAGTACGCCTACTTTATGGACGCTTTCGGAGGACCTCCTGCGTTTCTATTTTCATGGGTAAGTATAACATAAACTTCATTCTAAAAAAATAAAGTAACATGATAAAATACCAGCACTAAAAGATTCCTCCTTCTGATTGCAGGTATCGACATTAGTACTGAAGCCATCTCAGATGGCTATAATATGTTTGAGTTTCGCAAAATATGCAGTGGAACCATTCGTATCGGAGTGTGAACCGCCAACCAGCCTGGTCAAACTTGTCGCGGTCATTTCTATTGGTACGTGAAATTGCCGCACATCATAAAGCATATTAAAACCTTCAATATACTTCATTAAGGATCGAAATAGACGAGTACCAATTGATATATAGCGATTGCTGATTGAAGTCAATGAGTTGTCGTCCGTTGGAAGCTTTAAATAGTCAACTATATACCTACTTACATCATAATTTCTCTTTACAGTGATGATATTAGCTGTAAATTGCTACAGCGTCAATTTGGCTACGAATGTACAAAACATCTTCACGGCAGCTAAGCTGGTGGCGATTGCGATCATTGTGGGCGGTGGAGCTTACAAGTTAATATTAGGTAATGAATTCTATAAGATTAAAACCCATATCCACACAAGAGCTTTTATCCATTACCATCACAACCCGTCCTAACCCGGCCGAGGAGAACTGGAATCCATCAGGTTCATCAAATGCCGCCGACTTTTGAACTATAACTTCCATATCAACACATCACAAGGCTACTTATCTAATGAAATTACCATCTAATGTTATTCCTACAACAAATTGGTCATTAGGAAATGGGGCACTGTACCTAGCCCAAATCAAGCTCGACGTATCCATTACCCGCCTTTTCATTACCCTAATGGGTTGTAAATATTTGTTCAAACACTGACGGTTGGTTGTTCGATATGGTGCAGGTAATACGCGACATTTACAGGAGCCCAACTTCGCAAGTAGCACCGCCACGCTGGGCAACATTGCCACAGCGTTCTACACTGGCCTTTGGGCATATGACGGTTGGAATAACCTGAACTATGTCACTGAGGAAATTAAGAATCCATCCAAGTAAGTGGTTATTTGTTACTTTACGAATATTCTTAGAATGATATTTAAATTAAATACTTAGAAACGCTTAAGCAATTTATTGATTAACTGACATCATTCAGTACCTTCAGTTGTTTCCTTATTTTGCCCTAATAGGAGTACGACCTAAACAGTTTCCTTTTCGTTTCGAATTATTAGTACTTATTGGATACCTACACGGTAGCTAAGACTAATTAGCATTGTTAATAAACTTATAGGAACTTACCGTTGAGCATAATAATCGGCATTCCGCTGGTGACGCTGTGCTACGCGCTGGTGAACGTGTCATACCTGGCTGTGATGTCGGTGAGCGAGATGGCGGACAGCGAGGCAGTGGCAGTCACCTTCGGGAACAGGCTGCTGGGTCCACTCGCCTGGCTCATGCCACTCGCAGTCACCATCTCAACATTCGGATCTGCCAACGGCACGCTGTTTGTTGCGGGAAGGTAGGACACTGAACGATGTATGCTTCTGAGGAGCTCAGTAGCATTTTTACGCTTGTATTCGGTTTGTAAATTTTTAAGAATGGATGGAAAGCTATTGGTATTTGGTCGAATGTAATAAATGTTTCCTAAATTAATTTTTATTTTTAACAGGTTGTGTTTCGCAGCATCTAGGGAAGGTCATTTGTTGGACATCTTATCGTACGTCCACGTGCGCCGTTTCACTCCAGCTCCAGGACTGATTTTCCATGTAAGTTACAATTTATTGATACAAGTAATTGCCACAAGGTAATTTGTACTTAAGAAATAATGATTTTAAACTGATAATTATTTACCTTTTGCAGTCCCTGATAGCAGTGGCAATGGTGTTGTACGGAACGATAGACTCGTTGATTGACTTCTTCTCCTTCACCGCGTGGATCTTCTACGGCGGCGCAATGCTTGCATTGATCGTTATGAGGCGTACAAAGCCGCATGCACCCAGACCGTATAAGGTATGAACTTAATTCACTCATGATAAAAAAATTAAATAGTGTGCGATATCAGCATCCCCACCGGTTTTTTCATAGAATAAAAGTAATTATTATATTTTTAGGTGCCGATTATAATCCCGTACGTCGTATTGCTGGTGTCGACCTACCTGGTGGTAGCACCAATTGTTGACAAGCCCCAATGGGAGTACCTATACGCCACCGCCTTCATATTCGGTGGCCTCTTGGTCTACGTGCCTTTCGTCAAGTGGGGCTACTCTCTACCGTTCATGGGTAAGACTTTCAAGATTTTAATATGAAGTAAACACTAAACATATTATGCCTTATGTGTCTATATAGCTGTTTAACCAGGACCAAATCTATTAGTTAATAAAACTTTTCTTTCAGATAAAATAACCGTTTTCTTGCAAATGGTGCTGGAGGTAGTGCCAACGTCAACAACGTTCGAATATTAGGAAGTAGTCGGAGCTGGACTTTAAAGAAGCAATTGTGACAAATTCTCGTCGATTTATTGTACCATATCTAAGTATCATTTGGATTTCGTACATTGTTAACTATTTTTTGGTCCTGTTTCGCCTAACCTCGAGAAAGTTTAAAAAAGTAATGTTATCAAAAATAATATATTTTGTAACCAGTTGATACTTCAATTTCTTAGAGGCGGTGATATACCTAGATACTTAATTAAAATTTGATATAATTTTTTGACTGATAGGTATGTTCCTCATCCAAAATTATTGCCCACAATATTGTGTAATGCAATAAATAACTCTCTGTAAAATTATATGTATAATATCGTGTTATATGACTTAAAAATTACATGGTATTTTGATGTTGTTGCAGCGTAAAGCTTTTTACACTTTTGTTTTGGAATTTTAAGAAAAAATGTTGTACTTATGAAATATATTTCGTAATAATAATGCAGTGTTAAAAATGTGAAAGCCAAATGGCAATATTTTTTGCTATAACTTAGGTAGTAATGACGTCGTTCATTTCATTAGTTTGCACGAATCATTCCTATGGGGACATGCATTTCGAGGCGTTGACACTGTGCCATGTTGAGGCGAGGCAAGTTGATTCTAATCGTGGTAGATAATATCAATATGTGACGTGACGTGAGGGTTAAGGATAAAGGTTCAAACACCCTGATAGCCGTGACAAATGCAATTATAATTTATGATCTATTCAGGTCTTGTTCAAATGGCGATTAAACGTTTTGACCATGTTTAACTTGGATAAACTCAATACCTTGATTAAGCTAAGTATGGTAAGGCCGAGCTTAGTAAATTCTAAGAGGTCGATTAAAGTACCTACTATATTTTCCTGTTTTGAATGTTTGTCTCTGGAGGGCTGTTACGGTGCACTGCAAGATTTATCCTCAATCCTCGAACAGACTGCAGGTAGCAAGAATGATGTATCATAGGTACATGGTATGCAGTAGTTCTCGATAAGACTCGAGCCCTGTTCGCATCACTATGAGTGATTGTGCTAAACTCATAGTTTGTAGCTCATCAACTCATCATAGCCAACCTTAGAAGTTATGGAGTAGGTATAGAAATGTGTTTTATTTTGATAATAAATAAATATTTAATGAATCCGGTTTGCGTTAAGTAATACTTACAGGGGATAATAATTAGTTTGACGTACCTATTTGTTTACGGTGCTGATACGCTAGGACTATACCCAAGAATGCAAGTATTTGTATTGGAAAATTGTCACTAGTTGTACAATCAATTAATGGCAAGGTATTTAAGAGTGTGTCCATAAATCTCAATTGCTGATTGTACAAGATCGTTCTAAACGGAGCTCGGAGGCACAAAAGGCTAAGGATATTTACATGTAAAGTGGAAAAAATCTCAATCTTGGGCGGATACTTTATCCCTTTTGAAAGACTAAAGTGTGTGTTAACAATAGTTTGTAAAAAATGTTTGTTTCAATGGCTGATGTTTGCGATCGGTAAAATTTGGTCCTATCATTCCTTACCGGGGCAGACGAGGCCATCGACTTTTTATTGAAGATATTTTTATATTTATTGATTTTAATAATTATAATACATAATTTTTTTATTACTCAATCATTTGAAATATTTAAGATTTAGGTACTTTAAAAATAAATTAGAAAACTCTAAAGCTAATTTCTATAAGTTGCCCAATTGTTTAGTTTTATTGTATTTATCTAGCAGTTTGAACATGATAAGAGTACATAATTTATGTAGTTGATAAATACTAAGCAAAAACGGGCACACAGAAAGTACACACCTGACGATGTGATATTGTTATGGGTAAAAACGAATGGTTTTATTTTGTGTACAGAAATATCATAAAACATACCTATACTTACATAATATAAATGTGTGTACTTATCTCTGAAAGAGATCAGAATTATTTATTGTTATATACTACCATTGAAATGAAATTTTAAATAAAGACAAATAAATCAGCTGGTTGTTTTAATCTTACCGTAACAAAAATAAAAGAATAAGTAATGTTCAACAATTTATTGTTGTCAAAAAACAAAGATCACAGATCTTTGAGCAGTTCTATACCATTTGAAATATTTTGGCGAGTCGGGAACATTCGTGATGAGTGGGCCACTCATACAACACAAAAGTAACACAAGACACAAGATTATGAATGGTTATAGAACACCTATGCTATTATTGTCTATGTTATGATTACTTTAAATCTAAAAGGATATCAAGGGATTGCAGTCAATAATGGACTAAAGTCGTAAACATAATAATATATTTTATATATCATTAACACATACACTCTCATATAAATATATGCAAGCCATTCTTTCTATAAATTGTATAAAAGACAACATAATTGGGCATGTTGTACATATTGCAGGTAACAAGATGAGTACTGTCAATAAATTGCAGTAAGATAACATTCATGACGTCACCAAACTGTCAAAGAAGTATATATTCACTATTACTTTACAATATGTGTATAAGAAATTTCATTTACGATATTTCAACAATGAATAACAACATACTACAATATAATAATATCAGTTCACTGCAAAATAGCCAAAATATTTCTAAAATGGTATGAATTGACTTAGATTCGCTTTGCTTCCAAGGCTTTCTGATATTCACATGGCATTATATAATAGACTATTAGATATATTTCCGATTTAGAACCTAAGGTGCGGTTTATTCTTCATCATGTGCCTGGAACAAACAGAAAAGGTTATTGTAGTTTCGATATTGAAGAAGCAAATGTTCTTGACGTAACACTCTATGACGTAAGATAACCTCATACATGTGAATGTGACAAGTACCAATCTATTTATGTTCTTGTACATTACAGTCTATTTCTAGCTACTAGTTTGCTAAAACCTGAATAAAATGCACTTACGAGATTATTGGAGGCGGCATTTCAAATAATAATACTCCTCTCGCGCTCTCCCGGGTATTTATTAATTTATTTATTTAAGCTTCATGCACAATGTGTACATTAGGTGGACTTAATGCCGCAGGTATCGTAAGGGCCCACTTAAGGACTACACATTTAAAACATTCAGAACTGTTTGATGAACCTGAACTGCAATGGGTTATAGCGAAACCCTTAACTTAATGTTACGCGTTTAAAAACCGAGGTTCCGCTCTAGTGTGGCGGGGCTATGTGTGACTATAGATCTCCTGTCTAAAGTTTGTCAGTAGACTGTTATTTTATTATTTACTAGCTAGTTAATAATACTATAGACCCGGCAAAAGACTATAGAATAAGACCCGGCGAATTTTGTACCGCCATATAATCAAGAAAATATCTCTTTTTTCTTACATAAGAACCTTCTCCTAATAATAACAAATACAACACAAAAAGAATTAGTGAAATCGGTCCAGCCATTCAAGCGTGATACCATGACCAAGGAAAAAAAGGATTCATTTTTATATATTATATATGTAGATTTTAGCCGTGATCGTTCCACTGCAGGGCAAAGGTCTCCCTGCCCTCCTTCCACGTCTCTCTATTTAAAGGTTTTTGCGGCCATTCGTTCTCGTTGTTGTGAGCTATGGATGAATTAATTTAGTCTATTATATACTTACTTGTCAAGTGTCTCCCAAAATCCGAGTAGGACGGCGCGGTCAAGATGCCGCTTGGTGCGACTTAGGTTTAATACCGTGACGGCCCAGCGAGCGACGTTCGCGTCTAGTTTCATTTCGTCATACTTTAAATGAAACGCGCAAACTGAAAATAAGAAAACATTATATAAAAAATGTGATTTAATAAACTAAACCTATCTTAAGCAAGATAAAGAGCTTTTCTATTAACTTTATAGATTAACCTTCAGTTTGCATACACAAATCACCATTCACATTCCTTTATCTTGTCTATAAGTTATTGACATTTTATTTTAACACTGTTATCCATTAATTGGAGGTAAAGTACTCACTATTAGCAAATATCTGGACGGGATTGCCGTCCCAAGGCCATCCCTTGAACTGCCAGGCTGGTCCCTGCACGAATACTGCGACAACTCTGTCCCATTCAGCGGCTGATAGCCTGCCAGGGTTGTCTACAACGCGATAAGGTACCTGAAAGTAAATATGTATTAGACAAAATCGTACAACAATGTGTCTTATATTATACTTATTATTGATGTTATTTGTGTGTATTAGTCTAAAAATAATAAGAGATAAGAATTTGATAATTCTCTCATTAGAAAAATTATTGATGTCATTATTAGACTCTTGCAAATTACTGGGTAATTTAAAAATTTTTTTGGGGAACACAAAATGAAGATTTTTTTACATACACATACAAAGTGGACATATAATAGCTTGTGTCTAGACGTTTGTAAATGATTTTTAATTAAAATACCGTAATAGTAGTCGCGTTGTTAGGTACATCCCCTGTGGGTCCTTTTCTCCTCTGCAACAATACTTCATTTTCACGAGCCGCTCCTTCAGCTTTCTTCTGTTCCACAGTAACGAATCTGAAAATAGACATACCCAAATTGTAATAAATGAACAGTCGAGTTACCTCATCAAACAGTGACGCCAGTAAGCCGTAAAACACAATTAATTTAACGCATTTAACGAGAGTTACGCATATACAAAGAAAAGTGTGCATAGATGAATGCATTTAATCAAGCCAATCAAATGTTTGAACTTACTTAAGATCCTGCAGCGTGTCTTTAACATTGTACATGGATATGAGTGAGGTGGTGGCTGCGGGGATGATGATGATGGGTGTGCGCGATGGCCGCTTCCCGCCCGCGCCGGCTGGGGGACGCGCCGCCGCCACTGGTAGGAGTTCACGACGCCCCGGCGTACTACCGCCCATTGAGCCGTTTTCTGCACGACATTATAACATTACACATATTATTTATCGTGTAAAAGGTTTTTGGATTAATAGTGAATCGAAAATGGTAAATTCTGTTACAAACTAGAAAAATTCACTATTACAATGTCACACAATGTAACTACCTACGGTAAATAACAATCACATGGAATATATTACATAGATATTGATATTATGTGCAGTGGCACAATATTACTCAATCAATTTGTGCACATTAAAGACTAAATAAATAAACATAATACAAAAGATACATACGTGGCATTTGCCTAGGATGGCTCGGCGTTTGAGGCGCGCGCGCAGCGGCCGGTACACTTGGTCCCTCTGTTACTGACTTCAGGGTCATACCGTGATAGGTACCCATAGTGTCGATTTTGAAGCCTTCCGTTTCTGTAATGAAAGAAAAGAAATATGTTGTGTAACTATACATTATGATGTGTTACTTAATTTTACCACTAAAACAGGTAACATCTTTGCCAGAAGTAGGGATCCCACAAAGTTTATCATGTGTGAATGAAAGTGTCACTTATGTATGTGACAGTAAATTAGTGGTACCCAGAGAACTGAAGAAAAACGAAACAAAACCAATAAAAACCATTCAATAGCTAGGGATCACGGTCGAGAATAGGAAAATTGAGATTTTTTTAGAGATTATTGTGAACAAAATCATACCTTCTTTTTGCCTAATAAACCTTTCCTGATCGTATCTGTTGTACTGGGTTTGCTGCTGCGGTAACGATGTGGGCTGTGGCATGACTATGGGTTGCGGCCGTGGCGCTCCTGGTCGTCCTTCTTCCCGCGCTCGAATACTGCCCAACAGAGCTAGAATGCTCTTTGCAAACACCTGGAAATGTTTATAAAATTATTATAGTTTATTTGTTATTTATTCATCAACCAATAATAATTTTATAATTTCATTTCATTTCGATGCTTCGTCATCATAATGAATAGGCCAGATAACCAAACCACTTTACACCATGATCATTTTCGGAGATTTGTTATTTCTTAATGGATTGCAGGTTTTTGAATGCATTTAAGTGGGTAAGAGATAAACTTATAATTGGACCCAGACACACGCAGCTACACAACCAAACAACTAGTTTTGATTCGATTCTAATAAAACTTTTCAACACGATTGTCTTTTCACTCACCTTTCCGTTACTTTGTAATACTGTCGTTCTTGTGCGCCACTGTCTCTCCCGGCTCATAATATCCTTGGTTAGATCTACGTCATAGTCGAGGATGGCTCTAAAATCTGATCCGACGACACCCAGCGTATCGGAGTAGTCGTTGCTCTTGATTGTAGTCCTCTTCTTTGCCAAACGTTTAGCTTTAATGGCGGCAATTTTCTCCACTGACATCGCCTCCGATAAAGACCTTTATAAACATAAATTCATTTTAAAAGGATTTTTTGGTAAATAAGATATATTTTTGTTGCTTGAAACATGAATTGAATTATTTATATTCATTTTATTACAGTTAAATAATATGTTAGTGCCATCTTCACCAAGAACAGTGGCCACCAAAACTTATGTATGTAGTAAGTAATATACAAGTTGTTTTATGATGAAGTTCATTGATGGTTTCATATTGATCTTACTATTTATTTTTAAGTTACATTTTAACATCTACACTAATAATTAGAAATGATTTGGTTGTTTATGTTCATCCATTTGGTATCTTTTTACTATTGGATACTTTATTTATCAGGGAGTAACATAGCCTGGCAGTGCTGATATTCCTATGGGGAATCAAGTCATATCAAGTGATCGAGAGGAAATCATTGAATCTCCATGTGACAGCCAGTAAATTTAAAAATTCAAAATTCTTATCATATTTATGTACACCTTTATTGTTATATTATTATTTAGAGCTAGCTAGATTTAAACTAAAATTAATAATATTAACTTAATGGTTAATGATTGCAGACATATTATATTTCTTATGAGATGCTATAATTTGTAATAAGATTTCAAAACATTAAAACTTACTTGATATTGTCAACTGTGACGGATGCCTCTTTTGGAGCATCAAGTCTAGCTGCGAGCTGTTCTCGTACTTTTTGCACATGGGTTTCCTCAATGCGAGGTTTCTTTGCTGCAGATTCACCACCATCGTGATCATGAGTGCGTTTTACCTATAATAATGAAAATTAAGTCCTGTAGCATATTATCTCCTGTATAATTAATTTAATCATGTGTGGTATTAAAATTTAATACGACAAATAATTAGTTGCAAAATTGCATGTGGTATTAAAATTTAATACCACAACCAATTTAGTTTACCATGTAACTAAATTACATGTGGTATTTATAATGTATGGTAATGTAATGTTACAATAAAATGTAAAATATTTACCTGGGTTGGTATTTCTAGAGGAGCACTTTTATCTATTGATGCACAAGTTGCAGTTTCACCATTCAAGTATGCCAACAATTCTTTACGATCTGGACGACGCACAGCCGGTATGTTTGCAGCCTGTGCAAAATAACATATTCACTGCATATTCATATTGGGAGAAATTACCACACAAAAATACCACTGTACTTACAGCTGCTTGTCTAACATAAACTGGATGGGTCAACTGTATATTTTTAAGGATGAATAGAAGACATTCCAATGTATAATATTCTTTATCATTGCCTTCCTTTCCAGACCTGAAAAATATAACATTTTACAAAATTATTACACATGTCAGCATCTTCTGAATCTCATAAATTCAAATATGAAAGCTTTACTTACCCCCACATAAGATAGTTGGTTTTAACATTTTTGGGCCAAGAGAATTCACCAAATATAATTTGATTATCTCGTTCAATTATTTCTTTTTTGTTTACGTTGTACTGGCGAAGTAAACTCAACGGGTCCGCCATGATTACCTACTTCACTATCGTATTCACTGCTTATAACACAAGTGCAAATTACAGTTAAATTATTAACAAAAGAGTGAACATTCGTCAAATAAAATGTTGGGAACTGAATATTCGACAAATATTATAGCGGGCTAACATTTAGCTTTTTATCACAATACACATCAACACACAATACACTGACACAACTGACTGTGCTGCCATTGCCCACAGATAAGTAAAGTTAAGAAGTGAAAATCCAGTGTTACCAACTGTCAAAAATATTTATCCCTAAAGCTTACGTCAAAAATCCTTAAAAACGCCTTCTAATGTCCCCCTTAAAATAAATAAATCACATAACTTCACGCCTTTTATCCCCGAAGGAGTAGACAGAGGTGTACATTACGGCACTTAATGCCACTTTACAATGTAACACCCACTTTTCACTATTTATGTACTGGTCTTGAGTCCCATATAATAGGGGGTGAGCCTTTTGCCATATACCGGGCACAAATCCAGACTCCGTGCTACTAAACTGAGAATTTTAAAAACTCAGTAGTACTTTGCCCGACCCGGGAATTGAACCCGAGATCCCTTGCCCAGCAGTCACACTTGCAACCACTCGGTCAACGAGGCAATCAATAAATAAATAAATATAAAATCCTAGTGATTAAGAAATGAGTACCTATACTATTGTCGCAAAAATATTATGACATCATTTATTAATTATGTTGCGATCTCGTACAAAATTCATAGAAAAGTATTGTTTTTCACATTTCGATAAAATTATTGAATTTGACTAGTTGGAAACTACCGGATTACGGATTATTGGAGACAAGAAAATCCTGAAAAAACCCCTAAAAATTTCAGACTCCTAAAAAAATCCTATTTCACTTATTAACCCCCTAAATGTGGGGCGAAAACCCCTAAGTTGAGGACCGTCAATATACCACAAACTATGAAATATTGTACTAATCATATAAAAATAATATTTATTTTGAAACAATACATGGTGCACTAACAGTCAAACCTGATTACAAACTGAAACTAGATTTGAAATTTTCAACATAACATAACCTCACGTCTTTTACCCCCGAAGGGGTAGGCAGAGGTGCACATTACGGCACTTAATGCCACTGCCACTGTACAATCCACTGTAATCAAATAAAACCCACATTTCACTATTTATGTTATGTGATTTTTCTAAAACCCAGTAATACTTTGCTCGACCCAGGAATCGAACCCGAGACCTTTTGCCCGGCAGCCGCACTTGCCACCACTCGGCCAACGAGGTAGTCACCATCTTATCACTCTAGATTAGACTGCCACACTAGATTTCAGTTACCTACATTTTTGTTATTATAACCAATTTTGCAAATAAACTTCCATAACTTTGATATTGAAATTTGTCTATGGATATGCAATTAGTGCAATTATTCAGTGGAAAATTAAATCGAATAGAGAACAGTCAAAGAGAGGCTAAGATTAAAATTATTTTATTTATTTAATTTGTTTTTACCAATTGTAATATCTTACGATAGTTCGATTTCAAATTAAATAAAATAGTTTTTATTCTAGTGTCATCTAGGAGCAAAACTGATAAACTTATAATAAAAGTTTTCATTTCTATTGTATAGGTGGCGCCAACTGCAACATATTATAAATTGTTTTCTAAACATGGCTGCCGGTGGAGTCTAATGATATTTTTTTTGTGAATTCTGCCCTATTAACTAATTTTAAATCAAATCAAAACTTTGTTAATGGTGTTAATATGACATAGTAGTTACAGTTGAAATAAGATGACTTCCACTCCAAAGACTGACAAATGCGGACAAGGTATGCAAAGTTTTCATAATGCTTTTCTTTCGTGTATAAATTTATTACAGTTTCAGTTCATCTGTTTCTCTAGTTCTATTTATATTTCTAACTGAATGTATTCTAAAGTAAACCACTCGAATAATGTGTAATATTTCTTAATTTTGCTATTATAATTGAACGCTTTGATAGATTGAGTAGTGGGTATACATTTTGATAGTTATTGGATCGTTGAGAGTAATCTAGGGAACATTGCAAATACAAGTACACTGTACAATATTTAATTGTCCTCAAATAGAGTTTGGTTTGTGAAATCGATAGAATAGCACTTAACTTTTTCCTTGTCATTAGTCATGAGCTAAATAAACATTAGTTACTGTTAACAATTTATGTAACAGTGTTAATAATGGGAATAATGTTCAATCCTTTTGTGAATTACACATAATAAATATTTAGATACAACTATACAAGGATACAATATCTTAATGATTTAATAAAATTTTACTAAATCCTTTGTCTCTTTCTTAGTTATCTGTCAAATTCTTATATGAACATGCAGGTTTGTTATACATTCAGACCTGGATTTAGAAAATCCAGGTCTGGTATAAAAAAAAATAATAAAGAATTTTCACATTGTCCCAGTAAAGTTTCCTGTTTCATAGACTCATCTTAGGTTTATTACAAAACATGTGTCATGAATGGTGACTGATACGTATATTTTTATCAATAACATGAAATTGTTATGATATCATTGTATACTGTGTTATGTTATGTACTGTGTTTTTATTTATAAGTCTAACAAATTTTATCAGTTGATGACCGACATTCATACAATGAATAAAAGCTTGAATCTCATAAGTATAAGTTGCCCATTAACTCGTCGAGTACCGTCATTATAGACACAATTATAGAGCAATAGGTTGCGGTCACCGGTGACCGCTTGGTGTTTGACAGTTTAATATAAACTTGTAATAGTTAGTGCCCATTTTGATTTAATATGTAGTCATATTAGATCAAAACATCAACAAAATGTATAAAACATTTTGTTGCTAATATAAGATGTAACATAACATCACACCTTTTATCCCCATAGGGCCTACCCCAGAGGTGCACATTATGTCACTACAATGTAACACCCACTTATCACTATTTATGTTATGAGTCCCATGCAATAGGGGGCGAGCCTATTGCCATATGCCGGGCACAATTCCAGACGCTGTGCTACTACTGAGAATTTTTAAAACCCAGTAATACTTTGCCCGACCCGGGAATGGAACCCGAGATCCCTTGCCCGGCAGTCACACTTGTGACCACTCGGCCAACAAGGCAGTCAGTAATAATAAATATTAACCAAATCTGAAAGGTTGAAATTATTATCTGTAGAGTTTAGTCTCATCTTTCTGTCATTAAGTTCAACAAATATTTTACTCAGGAATCCTGTTTCACAATATTTGAATAAGTATTGATAATTAAAATCTTAATTTACTGTTAGATTGACATATTTTTCATCCATACTGTGTCTCAATTTTATGTGTTAGTTAAACTGTCAAACACTGCGTGGTCACCGGTGACCGCAACCTATTGTTCTTTAATTGTGTCTATTATGACGGTACTCAACAGGTTAAAAAGAACATTGTAATCAAACATTGAGAAACAGGCTCTTAATTTTCTTACTAAGATAAGTTATGAAACCTTCTATCTAATTTTTCTTCAATATCTAACTGACGTTCAAAAAGGAGGAAGTTCTCATTGTGTTTAAATATGACACCTAAAATTATGCAATATCTTTTAACAAAAAAAGGGACATATTTGTGTAAACTCACAGCTTTGTTGTCACTTGTGTACCACTTAAATAGACATAAGATAGAATCTGGATTAATATAAATTTTTAATAACCCTTTGTGTAATGTTATGATTGGTTTTAATTTATAAAATAATTAAGTATCGAAAACAAGTCACGGTTTATGATACAGAATATCAAAATATGATTTTCATAATAAATCTTTGCAAAATTAACAAATAAATTACTAGAGAGCCAACTAATGGATACAAAATTATTTTTATGTTGTTTCAAAGTCCCTTATTGATCTGATTTAAAATTAATACTTTTACTTTTGATTAACTTTAACCCTAACATTTATTTAAATTGCAAAACAATTGATTAAACTTAACACAAGTCATGAGTATTAATACTACAATCTTAGTATTTCGGAACTCTAAAGTACCCTATAATATTTTATCAGCCTAGTTAATATACTACAATTAGCGTCTGTTAAAAACGGAACTTAATGTAACTGGCCAAAACACTTTCAGTGTGTGCAGATCTACATACTCTTTGGGAATTAACAGGCGTAATGTAATGTAAAATTAAAATGTCCATAAATATTTTCCTTGGGTACATCCTTCCTATACACAACAACTGTAATTGCGAATCGACTAGCTCAGTAAGTACGGTACGTAGCATCCGCCGCGGCTGTGGCAGTGGCAATTTTTGGTCTGTCCCATATTTTTTATTGGATTCGCTACAAATCAGCTCATCTTTGAATCGGCACTAGTATGGGTAAGCTAGAGCTGAGCCGATTACGTTTATTATTTTAACAGAATAAACGCTATATAACGTTATGGTAGCCAAAACTATACGTTCTTAAATACTGACGTAGGTAACAAAACTGTACAAAGTATCTGAAAATTTAAATAGAATTCACAGCACCAGTATCCATATATTAAAGTTCTTTGGGTGTTATTTGCTATCAGAAAATGGGGTCATGATCACGTAATATAATCACAAATTGGTTTTTAAATAACTCTTCGTAATATAATAACTTGTAAACTATCAAACCACAATTACGAATATCTAAAGAAGAACAAGCAAGTAAAGCTTTCCAGAAATTTGTACTTTCTTGCATTTAATAAAAACTTAAATAAAAATGGTATTATTAGATTACTGTTATAATATCCGCTTCGTTCTAGTTTCTAGGTTTTTTTAATTGTTACATTATGATGTCATCTGTGTCTCCAACTCAAGCCTATTAATTAGCGCTGAACGATGGACATGAAACGAAATAAATATCTTTCTTATATTGTGCTTTAGCGATACACGACTGTATTTTTTAAATTAGCAAATAGTTAACAAAGAGAGCTATGTTATTAAGTACAACACTTTTCGTGTTTGATTCTCAACCACACAATACAATAAGTCTATTTAAAACTATGTAAAATAAACTCGCCAAAGAGGAAATATGTATAGGTAGTAATCGTTTTCAATTATTGTACATTTCATCTAGCAATAACTGTAACGGCATCGCATATTCATATTGGGCAATCAATATGAGATTCTTGCATTGCGTTAAAAGATAGAATAGCATAGCGAGATATTGAGAGTAGTGCGTTCTGTCTCGCACCACTAATT